TTTTGTTTTTTTTTTTTTTTTTTTTTTTTTTTTTTTTTTTTTTTTTTTTTTTTTTTTTTTTTTTTTTTTTTTTTTTTTTTTTTTTTTTTTTTTTTTTTTTTTTTTTTTTTTTTTTTTTTTTTTTTTTTTTTTTTTTTTACTTTTCCCTTGGCATTTTTTGCGTTTCACGGGAGATTTAAATCGGGAGTGAAAAGCATGGCAGATGAGCAAGAAATAATGTGCAAACTCGAGAGCATTAAGGAGATCAGGTATGTTTGCTTTGTGCCTCATCCGTTCCATCCTCGGGGGAGCGGAGGACTTGCATCAATCTGAAACTAGCTATTGTGCTACTGAGGGAAGGAAAACTACCGTTGGGTTTACAATGAGAGCTCAAAACAGATTTTTCTAATCAGGGAAGGAGCATCTGCTGCTGGTAATTAACGCTGGAATGCGTATGAAGGACGTTAACGGTCGTGCATTTCCAGAGAAATTTCCCTGAGTGATGGGAAGGCGGAATGCTGGGAAGAACCGAGCAGCTGGGGGGAGTGATGTCGGGTCGCGGCTGATGTGGGGGTTTGCTGGTTTGTTTTTAAGTCCTTTGACTTATTATTTAATATTCCTGAGGCTCCGTCTTGAATCTCTTATTTTGCCCGGACGCCTGGGCAGGAGCCTTGACGGGCTGCGAAAGGAAGGGCATGGCACGGAAAGCAGAGTCTAACACCGAAAGCCCAGGGCGGACGTGCCCCCGGGCCGGGCCGGGCCGGGCCGGGCAGCGCTGCGGACACCGGCGGAGCCCCCGGAGCGAGGCAGCTGCTCACTCCCCACAGCGGGCGGTGCTGGGGCCAGCTCTGCTCGCCGGGCATCCATCCGTGCGAGGAATCCGTGCGGGGGACGAAGGGGAGCAGCTGAAGCTTGGCAGCTTCTCTCTGCCCTGCCTTGAGCTCCCGCTCGCCCGAGGGCATGGAGACAGCCAGGAGAGGCCTGGAGTGATCTTCCTACCTGCTGCTTTTGGCCGCCGCCCCGGGGCGCTGGGGATGGGGAGCAGCGAACCGAGGCTTTTCTGCCGTTCCCTCCTGCCACTTGCCTCGCTCTGCGGTTCGTGCAAGGCGATACACCAGGAATTTGTATACAGCGTCCTTCAGGGGGAGTCACGGATGCTGTGGAAGAGAGGGATCCTAAACAGCCAGGCATGGTTCCCGCACTGGGGACATTTTTCATAGCTTTACGTAGGGCATTGCCACTCTTTAGCTAAGGGCACAGATTTTGAGTATTAGGCCTGAATTGCCTAGGAATTCATGCATCCAAAAGCCAAAACACACTGCAGTGATTTTGAAAGTAGAGAGAAAAGGAGAAAAGTAGGGGGAAAAAAAGTTTTAAAAGTAGAGAGAAAGTAGAAAGAAAGGGAGGTGGAAGGCATGCTGACTGTGGGTAACCTCAGGGTGATGAGAAGTGTATTGGGACATGACGACTGGAGAGGGGCTATCAGGGAGAGAGGAGAGAGGGCTGAGGATGAAGGCTTTACCACCGGCAGTATGTGCAGGTGGTCACAGAGGCTTCTGGCTGGTAACAGCATCTTGAAGAAGTACACTTTACGCATGGAAAAAGTGAATTAGGCACCAGAATATAGGCCTCAGCCTTCTTTGCACAATACCACAAAGGTGAAAAAAGATAAAGCAAAAATATTTGTCTGGAGTCCCCAAATTATTTGTAGAAAGAGATATGACAACAAATACTTTACAGGGTAAGAGGAATGCTTATCTACTCAACCGTTAGGCAGGCTCTGTTTTAAAATACTGATCTAGGTATGGCCTGCTACAATTTGTGGTCCAATTATTGTAACACTTCATTTAAATTATTTTTTTCAGAGTGATATCCTGTATTTGAAAATTCACAGTGCACTCAGTTTTCTGATAGTATATTCAAAGGTGATATATGAACTGCAATTAATAGATTTTTGTGATTACTTTGTGGCATAAGGTAGTGTAAAGGTGATGTTACTAGCTTTAGTGTACAAGGAAGTATCAAGAAAGTTGTTAAATAACAAAAAATCAAATGTTAAAAAGTCAATCCTATTTGCAATATTGATGTCCATTTTGAGTCACCTTTAACAAAATCTGATCGAATTAACCTATTTATTCATCCTCAAATCTTTTAAAAGGAGCTTGCATTCTGTGAAGAATTTTCTTCAAAATAAACATGAGAATTCCTTATGATTACAGACTCACCTTTGATAGATTTAGCACTTTATTTTGTTCTGCTTTCCATGTATTCTACAGACAGAGGAAAAAAAGTCTTTACAATCAAAATCAAAGAACTTGCCTGCTCCTAGGCTCATTCATCTCCATCTCTTATTAAAGGCAGCTTAGCTGGGTCTTGAAGGGATTAAGGAATCTTATCTTTGAAGATCTATATGCATATCTATATCTATAGATAAATACATATAATTTGTAGTCAAGGGAATACTGTTTTCAGTAAATGTGTTTCATGTCCACAATCCAAACATATATGCAAATGCTTATTTATATGCATTAAATACTTCCACAGAAATAACCCCAGTCATAAAATTAAACAAATGCCTAAAGACTCAGTGTTCTGGCTGGGAGGAGCTAAAAGAGAATGAGAATGGATATATTGATGAGAGATACTAGTTTCACTGTTTAATGCCCTATTGGGACACGCTTAGTGACTACTGTCATCAATGCACTGTAAGAACTTAAATAGAAGGGAAAAAATATGAGGGCAAAATTCATTAGGCAGTCTAGAAATCACACTTATGGTTCCTGTTTTTAAAATTACTGCATGTTACCTGATGCTAACAGGAAGAGTTGTAATTTGTGTGTACTTTTTCTTTCCTAATGTCAAAAGCTAATCTTTTGGACTTAAACAAGCCCCTGCAGCTCATTTGTTGTAGCAATCTGGCAGAGTATGGCACCAGTGACTAGTAAAAATGAGGAAATAAATGTAGTTCCATTGTCTTTAGGTAAACACATGTAATAAATACAGGAGAGGAAACAGGAAATAAATTGGGGACAAATACTCCCAGTTTCAATAATCAAAGATGCCGTTACTAAATAAATGACATTTTATAAAAACAGGGGTAGATGTTAGGTTAGTGGAATATTGCCACATGTAAAGTGGAGGGTAGAGAGGATCTCTTTTTATTGGTTTAAGTTCAATATTTACATTCAGACATATATGTCATTGTGTAGTAAATGACACAACAACTCAATGACATTAAATTATACAATGTTGTAGCTACATACTTGAATTCTATCTACAGTTCATTTTTCATGTCTCATAATCCTGTGCTAAACCTACATTTTCTGCATTTCTCTCTTTTGGAACTAGGGTCAACTGACACAGTAGAATTCTATTGGTACAAATTCTCTGAATCTACAGTAACTACTAAAATCTGACAACGTTCTATTAATTTCATAATTCAGTACAAGAATTCTCATAGCATTGAAAAGCTCAGCAAAAGAGATGGAACTAGAATTCAGTATTCTCGTTTCTTTCTCAGACATATATAGTTTCACTCTTGTCTGTTGCTGCTAGTGCCTTCTTCCATCTATCTAATCACATATAAAGTGACACCTCACAAAAATATGTTTCAGTGACTTTCTCTTGTCTCTCTATTTTTAATTACCACTGGGATTCAGGAATAAGACTTTGCAGATGGAAAAAATAAAGGCACGACTGAAAGCAGAATTTGAAGCTCTGGAGTCTGAGGAGAGGCACCTGAAGGAATATAAACAGGAAATGGACCTGCTGCTGCAAGAGAAGATGGCCCATGTGGAGGAGCTGCGACTGATCCATGCTGATATTAATGTGGTATGCAACAGTCCAGCTGCAGACAATCTGACTAAGACACAGTGGCATATGAATCATTCCACAGGCTGTGGAATTGTGCACATCAGTGAACCATCACTGGTTCAATAATCTGGACTTTACAACACCACCCTAGGATCCTACAGAATGCAAAGTAAATTTACTTCAGGGTAATTGTTTTTTTCCTGTGTTGGGCAGGATATTTTGTGATGTTGGCATAGTAAGCACTTGCACCAAGAGGAAAGATAACCAAGCCTATTGTGGCTATGAGTTTACCAGTATCCACAGTAACATCACTCCAGCAGTCCCATAGAAAACTGTTCTTCCTGTTAGGCTTTTCTCATTGAGCACCCAAAACCAGAGAAACTTTAGCAGCTAGCTGGGACTTTTGACTGGGGCTTTTGGGAAGAAAGATTTTGAGAAAATGCATGGTATTTGTTAAGTTCTTAGTAGGAACTGACCTTCATCACTGAGTGGAACCACCAAACAATAAGAAGCACCAACCTGAAGGGAATTAAAACAAAGAAGAGAAAAACAATTTATAAACAGGAAAGAGTAGCCAATTAGAGGGGCTAAATAGGGAATATCTTTTTAAATGTGCATTTTTTTATGTCATGTTAGGTCACTTACATGTTTGCTTAGTGGTTTCTAGCTCTGAAGGTATCTCTGCTTTGCACAAGAGAAAAAAAGCTCCCACATTGTAAACAAGTACAAGGTATATACTGGATGTGCAGACTGCATTTCTTTATCTTGAAATGTCTGTTCCCCTATCCAGCTGCATAACCTCAACCTCTATTTCATCCTTTCTTCTTTTTCCAGTCAGATTGTCTTTTTCTCTGCTGCTTTTCCCATTTACTGCAGTGAGAGAAACAGGAACTTTTCCTTGGTTTGTTTGATAACTTCTGACAGTTGGTGTTCAGATATCTTAGAAACACAGAAAATTAGTTTTGTTCTACCTTAATTCCCTTTTTAATGTCTGCTGAGAGTTTTCCATCAGTCCTCACTTGCTGACTTTATCTGTAGCCTGTCTACCTGCTGCTTCTGTTGTTCAGAAGGTCATATAGGTTGAGTGCACCTTTTTTAAATGAAAACACATCTCATATGTCACTTTCTGTTGCTTCTTCCTTGCCCAACTTTTGTCCTCCCAATACCTTAACTGCTCTACTATTGCATTGTCTCCAATCTCTTCCAGCTTGAGTGAAAAAAATCTCTTCTTTCTGATAAAGTCTCTTGCTCAGAGAGGGACAGTTCTTTACAAGCATGCCCATCCTCCTGTTTCAGATGGAGAATACTATCAAGCAGTCTGAGAATGATCTTAACAAGCTCTTGGAATCTACTCGTCGCCTGCACGAGGAGTACAAGCCCCTAAAGGAGCACGTAGATGCCCTGCGAATGACTCTGGGATTGCAGAGGCTGCCGGATCTATGTGAGGAGGAGGAGAAGCTGTCCCTTGAGTAAGTCTCCAAAGTAAACATTATCTGGCTTTATACTTTCTCTCAATTCTGCTGGTCATTTTCTTATTTTACTTTTGTTGATAGGTGGAAAAAAGAACTCAAGAGGTAAGCATGAAAAACAAAAGTTAACAAAAAAGGGATGTGGGAAGACATGTATCGGATAACATTGTCTGAACTTGTTGCAAGGTAAATTTAGATTATTCCAAGCTGCAAAGTCTACATATGACATGCAAAAATTCAGTGGTGGTTGGCTGGCTAGATTTTTGTACTGTATGTTGCATTTTCTAGCAACCTTTTTTCCCTCTGTTTGGGAAGCAATAGTAGGAGGCAATACAAGAGAGGGATAAAAAACAGGGGTTCTTCAGTTAGTTTGTACTGCTGCTAGTCAGAATTTTACTTTTTGCTGCCTGCTCAGGGCAATGGCATTTAACCCTAACCCCCAAGACTGTCAACAAGTAAGTTTACCCAAGCTGTGGAAAAGATTGGGATAATAAATTACAGTTTCATTTTTAGATATAAACTAGGTGGGAGAGAGTGACAGAATTAGCTACTATTCTAAGAACAATGTCCTTTGTTTAACAGATCAGTTTTAAATGCAAGGGGTGTTTTAAGAAGCTTATATTTCTTTTAATGCCCAGCATAGTTAAAATAATTTTCATGGGCACACAGTTTTCAAGATTTCCTTTGTATTTCTTTAGAAGCATTCTTTTACATTCCAAACAACATGACACCACAAAGAATGTATTAAATTACTGCCTACAAAAGTTATGCATTTTAACCGAATATAACAGAAAAACTGTTTGACAGAGTTGCATCTGAAGCTGTTAAATACATATGTCTTGTCTGTTTTTGATTGGACTAGATTTTTTTATCCAGTTGTATGTCAAGATACCTTAGAAGCTGACAGTCTGGAATCTGGCTGAAGTGTACAAATGCAGAGAAAAATACTACCGAATCTATTTATGCACTAGTCTTAAATGTAGGCAATTTGACTCCAGAGGAACATGATAGGGAAATGTGATCCATTGCATTTTAACACAAAATATCCTTTACAGACTAATGAAATACCCCAGAAGGCGGTTACATTTTTTCTTCGTTATTCTTCTGTCTAGCTACTTTGAAAAGCAGAAGGCGGAATGGCAGACAGAACCACAGGAGCCTCCCATCCCAGAGTCTCTAGCTGCAGCTGCAGCAGCTGCCCAACAGCTGCAAGTGGCTAGAAAACAAGATACCAGACAGACAGCAACTTTCAGACAACAGCCACCTCCAATGAAGGTCAGGAGACAAATGTGCTGGGTTTTCTTTTTTGCTATTGGAACACATTATGTTTATAAAGTTGATTGGTATTTGCAAAAAGGAAAAATTATGTGTTCTGATTCTGATTTTCCCTGCAGTAGTTCAAATCAAGAACAACGAGTAGACTTAAAGTAGTAGCACCAGTCATCAAGGGTTAAGGACAAAAGAATCTTTTATGACTTAGGAGTCTCCATCAGCAGAGATGTAGGCAATTCCCACTCCTCCTGTGCTTCATGTGGGAGAAAGTCATGTAAGAAGGAAAAAAAAGCTTGGCAAGAGAAAAACAAGTAACTACTAGTTAAAAGCAATGCACATATTTTATGAGGGAAATTACTGATGGTATATATTATTTCTGCACTTGGGATCTTCAAGACTAACATTAACTTAAGCTAACCACAGCACTTAAGTGACAGTTTTACTCAGCTCCTTCTATAGTAAGAAGAGCTACTTCCATAGAGGTACTCATCCTGCCAAGGTTCCAAAGAATCACTGACTAAGTAGGCAAACTGATGTAGGTACATTCCATAATGTACTTACTATCTGTGGTTAGGCAATTGAAAAGCCTTTCTGCAAGTAATATGTTTCAGTCAAATGGAAATTAAAGGGCTTAGTATGGAGCAAAAAGGCAGAGTTCTGTACCTTATGTTAAATACATGGAATTCATCTTATCACTTGCTCCTGCCTTAGATTCTGTGACATCACAACTGGACTTCACTGTAACTTCTCAGACTCAATGAGCTGTTATGCATGTAAACACCTCATTGGAACATTTAACACAAAACAGAATTTATTGATAGATGTATGAACCATGTGTCTGCGGAATTGTAGTTTTAATTCAATTAAGTACTCCAATTTTTTACTTGGCCTGAAATTACTGTACAATCTAGATACCTAGATTGTATAGAATGTAGCAGTGGTTTGCCTTTGAAGGCAAGAAGACTTATTTTTGCCTGTACTGTGACTTAGAATATGGTACTCAATAATTCATGTAACAACGCCACTTAAATGTTTGTAACAAGAGGCTGCAATATTGTATTTCAGGCATGTTTATCGTGCCACCAACAAATTCATCGGAATGCGCCCATATGTCCACTCTGCAAAGCAAAGAGCCGATCCCGGAATCCCAAAAAGCCCAAGAGGAAACAGGATGAATGAAATCAAGAAGATTGCCAAGCTGTGTGACCTGTTCCAGTCATCTTCCAGTAGAACTGCAAGTGCGCCTAGACTTTACTGAAGTGCAGACTCAAGTATGACCGTCTCATTATTTTCTATTTAATGCAATGTAAGCACAATGTTCCTGTTTTGTCTTAAGTTCCTTCCAGTCCTTAGGATTTAGTTTTAGGAAAGTAAATATTATGGTGTTACAGTTTAACATTTCCGTTGTTCCATCTTTTGGACTCCTAACTAAACTGGAATTCTTTGTGCAAGTCTGGCTATTTCTATTGGCCAAATATGATGGCCACAAATGCTTTTACGTTCTCTCTTTAAAAAACAGATGTTACTAAAATTTTTTTCTGTTTTCTCTTGATAACAGGAGACTGACTATTAGAAGTGCTGAAATAGCAGTCTGATTGTTTCACTGAAAAACAAACAATTTATTTTCCAGGCTGGTAACACTGCATAGGTTTGGGTATCCAGTAGAACTCATTTATACAGGAAATGTTTAGGGAAAATAGGATTGGTTATACAGAAAATCAATGCATTAAGGACACACATGAAGTTTGATTTACTGGAGTTTGATTGTACCGTTCCCTGAAACTTGACTTGAAACTGGGAAAGTTGATGGCTATGTATGAATTTCTAAAATTATGTGATTTGTCATGCTTCAACATCTTAATAGGTTATTATTTTCAGCAGTCAGAAGACAACTGACTTAAGAACAAGGCACAAATTACCTGCATTAGAGGTCCTCCTCGGCTCTATGACCAACCTGCACATTGTGGTTCCCTAGGGAACGTGCATGAAATATCCCAGATCTCTCTGCGTGTGCAGACTGCTGCATCAGTCATTCTGCTGTCTTCCTGGCTTATACAGCCAAAATCTCCCTTGGCAGACTTATCCTCCACAGGAGCGTAGGAAAGTAACATGCACAATGAACAGTGTCAACTAAAAATTATGTATTTCACCAGAACCACTGGGCTTTGGTGTCATCGTCCTCCCCTTAACCAAAACTTTCTGGTTTTTGTGTCTCTTAATAGTCATTTGCATGTAAGCTTTGCCTCAGGCCAGTGTTTTTCTTGCTCTGTGTGTGCCTAAACAACCCTGACTAAAGCATCCAGAGTAGACCCCTCCCTGTATCCATGTGTTCATTTTGTTTCACCTAATGTAACAAGTTCCTCCAATGGGATGGATGACAGTGACCCATTTACAGAAACAGGGCTTAAAATTTACTCATCTCCAGTCCCAGTTCTGTCACTATCTTTGTTGTCTAAATTGATCTCAAGTATTAAGTCTTCTTTTCACTAACTTCAGGAGGCAATTCTTGTGCTTGTTCACCTTCTCTCGAACAATGTGCTTGTTCACATTCTTCTCTCTTTAGCTGAAGTTCTTCTCTACTGTTATGCTAGAGTGGTTATATTGAAAATTTGGCTTGCTAAACAGGAAGAACAGGGCACTGTCAACTGTAATAAATCCACATAATGCAATTTTGCTGGCCAAATCACATATGCCATCATTGATTTCCCAAGTCTACCACAAAGTACACGAGTGATTTATTGAATATAGTCCTGTAACTTATATCAAGTTCATGAGGTGTTCTCTTATTTTAATGTTTTGTAGCCATATGAACATCTCTCAACAGCAGAGACAGAATGTGGACCACATGCCCCCGAAATTATGTGAAGAGCAGATTCTGCTAGCTGAATTACTGGGATTTGGTCTCTCTGAGATAGCAATAATGGAAGATAGTCTGACTCCATTCTCCAAATGGCAGTAGTGCATTATGCATGTCTTGTAGCACAGATAGTGGATTCTGCTATTGAGTGTCAGACTTGGCAACCCAAGTGTCAGACTGGTCACATGCTGTATGCCCTGTTCAGAGAAGTTCTTAGTAAGCTGAAGGGAAAACATACACTAAGATAAAAGTACGTGGACTCCCCCAAAGTACATGCTTAAGAGCAGTGTACTTCAATAGTAGTTGTACATAAATTTAAGAAGTAGTGACAATGGAGCGGGCAGATGGTCTGCAATGAAGTAGCATGAAGAGAAGGATTGATTTGTAGTAACTTAGAGTTCTGAAATAGATAGGGTTAGTCATAGTTGCTCTCACTTCACTGCTACTTTACCAGGTTCTTTCTTTCTTGGAGGATGTCTAAACTGAAGTATGCTTGAAGATACACCACTTACTGATTTAGTACAACAGTTTTGTATTTTTTTCTTTTTTTTAAACTAGTCTCTTGTTCTCTTGTGTTTAAGAAGGTTAGGGTTTTTTTAAAAAAAGAGAATATGATGTACTGTGTTTGCATCAATCATGTACTAGTATTTACAGATTTGTTTGCACATCCTTTACAAAGTTCTGCTGTATGAATAGCATGCATTGCTGAGAATGAGCATAACTGAAGATGAGTCAGCAGTGCCCTGGCAGCCAAAAGGGCCAACTGTGTCCTGGGGTGCATCAGGCACAACATTGCCAGCTGATTGAGAGAGCTGATTGTCTCACTCTACACTGCACTGGTGAGGCCTTGAGTACTGTGTGCAGTTCTGGATGCCTCAGTGCAAGAAGGATATCAGACCATTACAGTATTCCAGAGGAGGAAGGTGACCATGATTGCAAAAGGTCTCAAGGACAAGACCTCTGAGGAGCAGCTCAAGTCACTTGGCTGCTTCAGTTTTGAGGGTGTCCTCATCACAGCCTACAGCTTCCTCAAGGGGGAAGCAGAGAAGCAGGTGTTGATCTCACCCTTTTATGACCAGCGACAGGACATGAGGAAATAGAATGAAGCTGCATTAGGGGAAGTTCAGATTGGACATTAGGAAAAGGCTTTTCTTCGAAAGAGTGGTTGGTCCTTGGTACAGTGACCCAGGGAAGTGGTCAAGGCACCAAGCCTGTCAGAGTTCACAAGGAGCACCTGGATGACACTCTTAGTCATACAGTTTGATGCCAGGTAGTCCTGCAAGGAGTGGGGGATTGGACCTGATGATCCTTATGGGTCCCTTCAAACGTGAGATGACCCTATTTCAAGGAGACAGAATATGCATTATGTATGAAGGGATCATGGGGGTGGGAGCAGGGAGGGAGGTGGTGTCTTTCATAAGGCAAGAGTATTCTTTTCTCTCACATGATAATAACGTAAGTTTAAATGAAGAGCTCTTCTTCTGGGCTCTTTTCTCCCAGGCAACTTTCTCTAGAGACTAGTGGAATAATTATGAAATATTGATTTCTTCTTTTTTAGACAGAGGAGGAAGCTGTCTGAAGTACAGTTCCTACCACAAGTCTAATGCTTTTTTACTCCATGGATTTTTTTTGCTCTACTGCATTTTTGCTCTTCCTTTGTAGCTAAAGTCTTTGTGGATACTTCATTGCTTGGCTTAAATTTATTCTAACTTGGGTTCAGTTCTCAGGATACTCACAATGAGACCCTCCACAAAGCTTGCAAGACTTTTTTATTTACTAAAATCTTTTAACCCTGTCTTTGTCATTCCTTTTTTAAATGGGTATCAAAGTGACAGCAAAGTAACTGGATTCTCTTGGAACAGGTGGTTTTCCAGGATTTCCTCCTGATTCCTCACTTGCCTCAAATGATAGTCACGTTATTCTGCAACCAGACACCCAAAAAAAACCCCACACAAAACAACAAAATAAAAACCAAAAAAACCCCAAGGCTTTCACCCTGCCACCACCATGAGCTCATGATAATAAGAGGTGAACACTGTACTGTGACTAAATACTTTGTTGTAGAAATTTTCATACCCAAGATACATCAGTTGTTCAAACTTTGGTGTCAAGGACCCCACTAACTACAGAGAAAATATAAGGCAAATTTTAATACTTGCACTTCCTGAATTCCACTTTCATTTTCTAAACACGACCTGACCTAACCTGACAGTGGCTTCAAGTTACAGAAACTAAATTTGAAAGAATAGACATTGATGTATTATCTAAACAGCATACTATTCAAAAAAAAAAAAAAAAGACTTCACTAGGACTTTGTAAAGTGCTTTATTCCTTTATTTTGCAGTTTTCAAATTCCTCGAGCATAGGTTTTCATTTTAAAATTTAGGTGTTTTAGCAATATCTGGTATTTTCATTGACTTCTGTGTTTTAAATATTTTACTCCTGTGCCTTGTGGGAGTAACTGTTCCAATTTGTCTGTACAGTCCTTTCTAATAAATATTTGTTTCATGTCATGCTTTCTTCCGGCACATCTGTTATTTGCTTATGCTACCAAGAAGCAGCCATATCCCAAATGGTAAAACTCAGCTGTCTTAGTTTTACAGGATGCAATTAGCCACAATTCTGTTATACCTTTACAGAAACTTTGTGGAGATAAATATGTGGAAAAATATTTGGAAAAAAAGATCCCTTCTAATGAGCTTTAGAAAACAGGAAGGAAAAGGAGATGACAGTACAACAGGTTTTAACATAGCCAAACTTTTTAGTTTTGCCTTCTAAAGTTAAATTGAAAGCAGCTATAAACATGATTCCCTCTCCAACTTAAGGCAGAGGATAGCTGTCTTCTCGAGCGTACTGCTTTGCCATTAGGAGATTATATCTAACAGTGCTTGCTGGAAGTTGCTTCTCATCAGACTGGCAACTGAGGAGTTTATGGCAGCACTCCCTAATCCAGCTCTGTCAGGAAAGCCCACATAGCCTGTACACTGCTAGCAAAAGAGGTAACCTACTGCATGGGAATGAAAACAGTTTTGAGAAAAAATTAGATTGTTTTTCACTCATCAATTAAATGACAAATGAATTTTTCCCACTAATGAAGTAATTAACCTGCTTACCCAATTAATTGATAGGGTTTTTTGCCCCCTGTAACTGTGGAATTACTTTTTGTAAAACAGCACTGCCACCTAGTGACCAAACAGGGAAACGACATGAAACTTTTACAGGGAACCCTGCCACCTACCGACGAAACGGGAGAACTGCAACACAAGAAAAATGCACACCAGCGACACCCAGCGAACCCTTTTTATTCCCCCCTCTTTTCCCTTCCTTTTTCCCTTTTTTCTTTCCCTTTTTTCCCTCCCTTTTTTCTTTTTTTCTTTTTTAAATCCCATTCCATACTCCGGAAAAAGTCCAGTCCGGGTTTTCCCCCATTCCGTACTCCGGCCGAAATCCAGTGTCCCCCAATCACCCATCCTTCCCCCTTCCCCCGCCATTCTCCCCCAGCTCGCTCCCTCTGGTCCCGGAGGACGCCGCGGGACCGGCGGTACCCGGAGCTGTGCGGGGTCCGGCGGGAGGGGCTGGGGGACTGACTGCGGTGGCGGCTCGGGGCTCGGCTCGGCTCCCAGGAGTGGCAGGGCTCGCTGGGGAGCGCTCGGTGCCCGTTCCGTGCGGGGGCTCGTGGGGAGCTCCCCGTTCCTCGGGGAATGACCCATCCTGCGGCTTCTGGACGGGTGAGCTGAGCTCGGGACAGCGCGGGGCGGCTGGGATGAGTAAAGGCAGCCTCCTGCTGCTGCTGGAGCGCTCGGCAACCCAAAGAGGGAGGGAGGTTATGTCCCCTGCTTACGGAGCACGATTTCGGGGCTGAATCATTCGCAGGCACGTGTCCGCTTGAACGAGGTGTTTCCCAGCGACATTCCAAGAGCCCCGAATGCTGGGATTTGG